CTGGACTGGTGCCATCTCACTTTTGGGATGTCATGCCTCCTCCTACCTCTGTATCCATGATCCCGACCTTCAGTCTAGACTGCTACGATGCCTGCTGTCCCACCAAGACCCTCAGCTCCTCCACACCCCTCACAGTGGCATGAGAGCATTTCAGCCTCCCCTGCTACCACAGGCTCATCATTCTAGCCACTTCCTTCTACCTCTACTGTGCTATAACCCTGTGTTGTCACAGCACTAACCCACATAGCTAGCCCTCTAGAGATTCCAAACAAGGAGCATAGCCAAAGGCCATCTCCTTTTGAGCCTTTTTTTTTTTTTAAAGTAACCTCTACACCCAATGTGAAGCTTAAACTCACAACCCTGAGATCAAGTCACATGCCCTACTGACAGAACCAGCCATGGACTCCATCTATTTGACACCCTCACCCTAACCCCAGAACTGACCAGACAAAGAAGCTCAAAATGTGTATTTCTGGAGAGGGTGCCTGTCTCAATCAGTGGACCTTGGGACTCTAGATCATCAGGTTACTGAGATGAAAGAAAGAAAAGAAAAGAAAAGAAAAGAAAAGAAAAGAAAAGAAAAGAAAAGAAAAGAAAAGAAAAGAAAAAAAGGCTTTCAAAAGAAAAAAAAAGAAAAGCAAAAACATGTCTTTCTCACAATCTGTTTTCCCTACCTCCGTCCCCCTTCTTCCATAATTCAGCAGGGCTTTTTCAGGGCTGAAAAGGATGGACTCTCCATTTCCAATTCATCCTCCATCCTCCTGAGAGGCACTAAGCCTCAAGCCCAGCCTTAATAATGGAAGAGATATAATATCCTCCTTACCCTATAGAAGAAATTATCATTAGGGCATGTCGGAAGAAGTTCTTGATAGGAAGCTACAGACGACTAGGAACTTTAGAAAACCAAAAACAAACATACAGTGACTTAAAATTCCCTAAAATACCATCCCTTCACAACTTCAACAGTTAGCATCTCCTGTGTGTTAAGCTCCAAGGATGTAAGATGAGAGAGTTAGGTCACTAAGGGGGGGTGGGGGTTCTACAAACAAAATAATTACAATGGAATTTTACATACTGCATTTACCAAAAGAGAAAACACAAGTAACTTGTTTGTCCATCTTTTCCAACTAGCAAACTAAAGAGGTGAGCAATAGCAGAAAAAGGATAAGATAATATAAATTATTTCATATCATTTAATCTTCACAATTTCATATCATTTACTCTTTCCCCAATTTACATACTTCATTTTCTTTTTCACTCACAACCTGAAAAACCAATCCTTAATGAGAGGAAAAAATCAAGGGAAGCCAGGAGGCAAATTCAAGTTGCTCTATTAATAAAAATAAATAGGCAAGAACTAAAGCACTGATCTAACAGCCCAAGGCCAAAGGAAAACAGGTAAAGTAATAAAGTAATTAAACATCTGTTATTTTATGCTGCCACCCCCACATGGAACTGTTACTGTTACAAACTAATATTTTCATTCCATTTCTTTTTATTTTAATGATTATTTATTGGGGGTGGGGGGGGGAGTGAGCAGAGAGGAGACCCAGAATCCGAAGCAGGCTCCAGGTTCTGGGCTGTCAGCACACAGCCCAAAACGGGGCTCAAACTCATGAACTGTGAGATCATGACCTGAGCCAAAGTCGGATGCTCAACCAACTAAGGCATCCAGGTGCCACTCCACTTCTTGATTCAAACGGATGACAGAGAGCAAGGACAGCAAGAGGAAAATTCGGCCAGATGTTTGTAACACAAACTAAAAGCTTACTATCTATCAGGAATTGGGGCCTCAAAAATTGAAAGATATGATACCTAATACCTACAATTAATGATGAACCAATTTTACTTACAAGGTGATAAAGAGCACGAAAACTTTATCTCAATGATGGTCATTCAATTGTGGTAGAAGACTGCATGAAACAACGCACCGAAGCTTGATTTCTCTAACACTATTTTCAGGCCACAGAGATTCCCAACTAGGCACTTGAGAAATACTACAACCACTTACGTGGAAGTGTTCAACAGAGCACCTGCTACGGCAGCACAAGTGGATATACCTAGAAATCCAAATAAGCGCACATGTGTTTTTTGTAGAGCACTACTAAATGAGTGTGTTGGCATGAAAACTCCTTTTGTCTTAGTTTGGATGCTTGGCATTTCCTGATACCCCTTTTCCTACATTTATGTTTGCTAATTTCCCCCACTATCTGAATACTGGTGGAAACAGAGCCTGACTCCTTTCCTAAAAGTCAAAAGGCCTAATACTCACCTTCCCAAATTCCCTTGCAGCTAGGATGCAGGCAGTGACCTAATCTTAGCCAATCCAAATAACGTACTGAGGATTTTGAATCTGAAGCTAATACCACAAAGAAACGTGGGTGAGAAAGCAACTTTCCAGCAATACCCAGTTTCCCAAGCAGCAGCAGCAGCAGGGCCCAGGAAGTGGTGCTGGTAAAACACGCCATAAAACCCAGTATTATCAGGCAGCGTCGGAAGTGGCGCTACCCAGGCCCCGGCCCCAGTTACTTCCGAACTGTAATCCTGACTGTGGAACTTTCCTTGGTTCCCACCCACTTTCAGAACTAGGGTATCTCCAGCCCTCAAAGCAATGCTAAGATCTCCCCAATGCTCTTGCATTTAATTCCTTTTTTGCTTAACAAGCATTACTAGTAACTAATTTCTCACCAATAAGAAACAGGAGTGATAGCCAACAGGAATGAAATAGTATGCTCAATAAAGAGGCATCCCACCCGCCAAGGACGGGTCTACTTTGGAAAAGAGACACTTCTGTGTGTCATATGACTCAAGTTCAGCTCTGAAAATTCAGTTAATAATTTGTCATGTATTAATTCCAAAATGTTTCCATTCCAACTGCTAAATAACTTTGCCAGTCTGAAAAGACTGGCAAACGACTGGCACCTTCTCCATCAAGCAAGTTCTCTACTGCGGACTAACTGCACTCAAACTCTAGATGCACCCACAAGCGATTCAGCAGTACGAAGAGCCCAGTTCTCTAATCTGCTTGAATAAGAATCAAAAACCAGGGCACCTGGGGAGTTCAGCTGGTTAAGCACCTGACTCCTGATTTCAGCTCAGGTCAGAATCTCACGGTCCCTAAGATGCAGCCTCGCCAGGCTCCATGCTGACACTGCGGAACCTGCTTGGGATTCTCCCTCTCCCTCTCTCGCTGCCCCTCCCACACCAAATAAATAAATGAACTTTTTTTTTAATCTGTAACTTCCAATGTGGGGGACTTCAGCATATAGTTAAGTCTTTTTATTTTAATGTTTACTTATTTATAAGGGAGGTGGGAGGGTACATGACTAGGGGAGGGGCAGAGAAACAGGCAGAGAGAGAATCCCAAGCAGGTTCCTCACTGTCAACACAGTCTGAGTTAAGGTTCGAACTCACAAATCCTGAGATCACGACCTCAACTGAAATCAAAAGATGCTTAACCTGCTGGGCCACAGAGGTGTCTCAATAGTTACATCATGAAAGGAATTAACTGTTTTCAAAACTTCTGTAAGTTCTGAAGTTTACAAAAACTCCAAAGTGCTCTCTCCTCAACAGATTTTTTTGTTGTTGTTGCCCTTTTGGTTACACCAGGAAGCTACAGATACAACTGTTAGAATTTTAAAATACAAAAGTTAAATAAATTCCCCAATTACAAATCAAATTAGAAGTTGGTAAGATTTTGGATTTTTTTTTTAATGTTTATTTTTTTAGAGTGGGGGAGGGGCAGAGAGAGGGAGACACAGAAAAGAGAGCGAAGCAAGCTCCAGGCTCAGAGCTGTCAGCACAGAGACCCACGCGAGGCTCGAACCCATGAACAGCGAGATCACGACCTTAGCCAACCGAAGCCAAAGTCGGACGCTTGAAAGACTGAGCCCCGCGGGCGCCCCAGGCCTTGGTAAGATTCACGGCCAACCTGCCGATCTGAGTTCCGCGCACACCTCCTCACCCCCATCCACCCAGAGCCCGACGCGGGGCTCGAACCCATGAGCCGCAAGATCATGACCCGGGCCAAACCCGACGCTTGCACAACTGAGCCGCCCCAGGCCTTGGTAAGATTCATGGCCAACCTGCTGATCTGGGTTCCGCAGGAACCTCCTCGCCCTCATCCACCCGAACCCCAGGCTTGGCGAAGAGCAGTCCTGGAGAAGTCCTCCCACCCTTCTGAACAGAGCTCTCCTCTTTGGAGCTCGGAAGCATTCGCTGCTTGACTACAATTCCTATGCCTGTGCGTGCGCGTTAACACGTTTCATTGAACCGCTTTCGCACAGCCCTTTACATCAGCCCAGGGCTTCCAGGCTGACGAATTCTCGCGTCCCGATAGGGGGTTCAGGCTTCGCCATTCAATGCCCAGCGCATCAGGCAACCTCAGCAGCCCATGCGCCCGCAGCACCGACCCGCTCTAATTAACGCTCTCTCTCACTCGTGCGCCCCTCCAGGGCTCTCCAATGCCCCATCTCCACGGGTCCCCAGGCCACACACAACCCGGACCCTGCAAAGTGTTCCGTCAACACCCAGATTCTTCCGCCTCCTGCAAGCCGGGTCCCCTGCTGGCGGGGCCTCGGCACCCAGCCCGGTGTCTATGCACCCCTGCTCCCGCCCACCCCGACCTCTGCTCCTTGTGACTTCCAGGGCCGCGCCGACGAAGCCTGCCGCCCAGGACACAGACTTTTTGTTCCCCCAGGAAAATGACCCACAGCACAACACTGCTCCTCCGCTCGATTCCCAGCTCAGCCCGGGGGCGGGCGGGGGTGTCCTCGGGTCCAGCTGCGCACCCCCCGGCCCAGAGCTGGAAGGCTGAGCCCCCCGGCGCGCAGCACCCTGTCAGCCGCGACGCGCGCCCCCGGGAACCGCGCGGCGCTGGGCATCGGGGCAGCGCCCCCATACCGGCGCCCCCACGGCCGGGAGGACTCCAGCGGCCGGCGGCCCCACCACGTCTCCGCGCACCGCCCCGGACTCGGTGGGCGAGGGCGCTCCGTACGTACCCGAGGAGGCAGCGGTCGCAGACGACGCCACGGCTCCCCTTGCACACCGTGTACGCCAAGGGATCCGAGCGGAAGAGCAGCTCTCCGGGGCGCAGCTGCGCCAAGGCGCGCAGCCCGTTTCCCCTGTTGGCGGAGCTGAACTTTTCCACCTTAGGCGGCTCCATCACCGCAGGTCAGCACCTCAGGCAGCCGCCGCTTCCCGCAGCTGGCGTCTCGTGTGCAGCCGGGAGCCGCGCGCCTGCGCCCTGCGCGCTCACGTACGCCCGGGGGGCGGGGCGGGCGGCGGGGCCTCCGAGCATGCCCAGTCGGGTCCGGAGGCGAGCCGGGCGGGAGCGTGGCGCTCAGGACGCTGGCCCAGCCTCTGACTCCCAGGCGCGGCGGTCGGGGGGCGGCTCCTCGAGGAGAGATGGTGTTCACACACCCTCGGTATCTTGTTGTGGACCCTACTCCTAGATCAAACAGTTCTTAGCATTTTGCCATGTCTGTTCACTTTCTCTCCTGGAGTATGTAGGTATGGCTGTTGAACCTCTTCAAGGTAAGTTGTCGTGTTGTTGAATCATATAAAGTAAGCTGCAGACATCATGAAATCTCATAACTAATGCATTATAACATTTCGTAACTAAATACTGTCCCATGCATTTCCTCAGAATAAAAACAATACACTATAGACGTACAATATCATCACCCCTAGGAAGATTAGTCTATGCTAGCAGGTAAAAAGTATATTCGCTTTAAGAATGGCTTTTGTAACTTTTTTTTAAAAACCAGGATCCAGCAATCCCTATGAAAATAACACCAGCAGTCTTCACAGAGCTAGAACAAACAATCCTAAAATTTGTATGGAACCGGAAAGGACCCCAAATAGCCAAAGCAATCCTGAAAAAGAAAACCAAAGCAGGAGGCATCACAATTCCAGACTTCAAGCCGTGTTACAAAGCTGTGACCATCAAGACACTATGGTACTAGCACAAGAACAGACACACAGATGAATGGAACAGAATAGAGAACCCAGAAATGGACCACAAATGCATGGCCAACTAGTCTTTGGCAAAACAGGAAAGAATGGTGTTGGGAAAACTGGACAGCAACATGCAGAAGAATGAACCTGGACCACTTTCTTACACCACACACTAAAATAAACTCAAAATGAACCAGGGATGTGAACATAAGACAGGAAGCCATCAAAATCCTAGAAGAGACAACAGGCAATAACCTCTTTGACCTGGGCCACAGTAACTTATTTGACATGTCGCCAGAGACAAGGGAAACAAAAGCAAAAATGAACAATTGGGACCTCATCAAGATAAAAAACTTCTGCACAGCAAAGGAAAAAATCAGCAAAACCAAAAGGCATCAATGGAATGGGAAAAGATATTTGCAAATGATATATCAGAGAAAGGGTTAGTATCCAAAACTATGAACAGCTTATAAACTCAACATCCCAAAAACAAATAATCCAGGGAAGCAATGGGCAAAAGACATGAATAGACACTTTTCCAAAGAAGACATCCAGACGGCTAATAGTCACATGAAAAAAAATGCTCAACATCACTCATCATCAGGGAAATACAAATCAAAACCACAATGAGATACCACCTAAAACCTATCAGAATGCCTAGAATTAACAATTCAGGCAACGACAGATGTTGGCAAAGGTGCGGAGAAAGGGGAACTCTTGCACTTCTGGTGGGAATGCAAGTTGGTGCAGCCACTCTGGGAAATGGTATGGAGGTTCCTCAAAAAATTAAGAAGGAGGGAGGCAGACCATAAGAGACTCTTAAATACAGAGAACAAACTGAGGGTGGAGGGAGGAGTGGGGGGGAGAGGAAATGGGTGATGGGCATTGAGGAGGGCACTTGTTTGGATGAGCACTGGGTGTTGTATGTAAGCGATGAACCACAGGAATCCACTCCAAAAACCAAGAGCACACTTTACCCACTGTATGTTAGCCAATTTGACAATAAATTATATTTTAAAAAAATTTAAAATAGAACTACCCTCTGACCCAGCAATTGCACTGCTAGATATTTATCCAAAGGATACAGGATGCTGATTGAAAGGGGCACACACATCCCAATGTTTATAGCAGCACTATTGACAGTAGCCACATTATGGAAAGATCCCAAATATCCATCAACTGATGAATGGATAAATAAGGTATATACACAATGGAATATCACTCTGCAATCAAAAAGAATGAAATTTTGCCATTTGCAACAACGTGGATGGAACTAGGAGGTATTATGCTAAGTGAAATAGGTCAGTCAGAGAAAGACAAATACATAATTTCACACATATGTGGAATTTAAGAAACAAAACAGATAAACATAAGGGAAGGGAAACAAAAATAACATAAAAACAAAGAGAACGAGACAAACCATAAAAGACTTAGAGAACAAACTGAGGGTTGCCAGTGTGGTTTTGGGTGGGGGGGATGGGCTAAATGGATGATGGACGCTAAGGAGGGCACTTGTTAGGATGAGCACTCATGTTATATGTAAGTGATGAAACTCTAAATTCTGTTCCTGAAATCATTATTACACTATATGTTAACTAACTTGGATTTAATTTTTTTAAACATACAAAAATAAAAGAAATTGTTAAAAACTTATATTACAAAGTTGTTGTCTCTTTTTATGTTTGTTTTTATTTTTTGAGAGAGAGACAGAGTGTGAGTGGGGGAGGGGCAAATAGTGAGGGAGACCCAGAATCTGAAGCAGGCTCCAGGCTCTGAGCTGTCAGTACAGAGCCCGACATGAAGCTTGAACCCACAAACCGTGAGATCATGACCTGAGCTGAAGTCGGACGCTTAACTGACTGAGCCACCCAGGCGCCCCAATTGTTGTCTTAGAAAGGAGTGATCAAAGGGTATGCAACCCAAAATGTAGGGGGGAAAGTATCACTGGCCCTATTACAGTTGATAATTTTTTTCTGTATTTCATATTTGTGGTACTTATCGGTTTTTAAAATTTTGTACTTTGTTGTGACTTCTTTTCTCATTTCAAATACTCCCTTTTGTACTTATTCATTGTTTCATTTTAGTTTTTTAATTAGAGAGAGGGAGGGAGGAGCAGAGGGAGAGAATCTTAAGAAGGCTCCACGCTCAGCACAGAGTCCTAAGCGGAGCTCAGACCATTAAGTCAGATGCTTAATGTACTGAGCCACCCAGGTGCCTCTGTATCCTTTTTCTTAAAAGAAGTCCCTGAATACTCAAAAGATTTGAAAGCAGGAACTAGAAAAGATACTTGCACGCCCACGTTCATAGCAGCTTATCCACAGTAGCCAAAATGTAGAAACAATCCAAGTGTGCATCAACAGGTGAATAACTAAATGTGGTATATACATACAATGGAATATTATTCACCCTTAAAAATGGAATTCTAATACATTATAATGTGGATGAACCTTGAAAACATGTTAAGTGAAATACTCCAGACACAAAACAACAAATATCGTACGGCTCTAGGAATAGACAAATTCATAGAGACAAAAAGTAGAAGATCAGTTATCAAGTGCTGAGAGAGGGGAAGGGGGAATTAGTATTACATGGGTATAGAGTTTCTATTTAGAATAATGAAAAAGTTCTGGAAATATGCAATGGTGATGGTTGTGCAACAGTGTGAATGTATTTAATGCCACTAAATTTTACACTTCAAATGGTTAAAATGGTAAATTTTGAGATGTATACATAACCACAATTTATTTATTTATTTTTATAGTTTATTTTTTATTTTTGAGACAGGACATGAGCAGGGGAGGGTCAGAGAGAGAGGGAGATACAGAATCTGAAGCAGGCTCCAGGCTCTGAGCTAGCTGTCAGCACAGAGCCCGACGCAGGGCTTAAACCCATGAACCGCGAGATTATGACCTGAGCCAAAGTCGGACGCTTAACCGACTGAGCCACTCAGGTGCCCCCATAACCACAATTTTAAAAGGGGGGCATGTTCCCTGACGTTGTATAAACCTGCACCCACAAAATTTGGATCTGTTCCTACCCATGAAATAAGCAATTCCACAATAATACAGTTTAACATCCTCTAAGGAGAACCACATATTCAGTAACAGAAGGGTTAAAATTTTTTACTTAATAAAAGAGATCCATTTAATTACTGTAAAATGGGCTGTTGCTTTCCAAATTCTTAAATAATAAATCAAAAGCATCAAGTTCCAAATTTGCTATACAAAGACCACTCAGAAACTGGAAAGATGGCTGACTCAGTATTATTTTTTATTTTTGTTTTATTTTTCTTTTTTTAATGTTTATTTATTATTGAGAGACAGAGCATAAGCATGGAGGGTCACCGAGAGGGGGAAACACAGAATCTGAAACAGGCTCCAGGCTCTGAGCTGGCACCACAGAGCCTGATGTGGGGCTCGAACTCACAAACTGCTAGATCATGACCCGGGCCAAAATCGGATGCTTAACCAACTGAGCCACCCAGGCACCCCTCTTAATATTATTTAAAGTTGCCTGGGAGGAACCATGTTATGGTTTAGACATATTTTAGAAACAGAAGCTCAGAATCCCTGGGACTTCCGTCATATCCTGCAACTCCATATAGTCTTCTGGCGCTTTCTCTTGTATAAAAACAGTGAAAGAAGTTTAAGGAGAACTGGATTAAGAGAGGTTCATGATACATGGAGGACAGGTTTTTATACCATAAGTGGAAAGGAAATCCTGGGTAGGATCTTGAAACCATCTTTCTCCAAGTCTTGGGGATTTGATGTTTCCAATGAATTCTTACTAAATTTACAGTTTGCATCACGAATCTAAATTAGATTTTTAAAATACACAAAAAGCAATGCTTTCTCACCCTACATATTCCCCTACTTTCATATCCTTATGATTTTTTTTTTAATGTTTTTTTTTAGTGAGAGAGAAAGCAAGCGAGAGCGAGAGCATGAGTGCGAGCGGGGGAGGGGCAGAGAGAGGAAGGGACAGAGGATTCCAAGATGTCTCAGCGCTGACAGCAGAGAGTCTGACGCTGGGCTCAAAACCATGAACCCATGAACCGTGAGAGTCAAAGTTGGATGTTTAACCAATTGAGCCACCCAGGCACCCCTCATATCTTTGCTTCTAATGAGCAGATAAAAACCAAGAAGAGCAAAGAGTGTGCCTCAATTCCCCATAAACCATAATTGAAATTTTAACACGCTGTTTTATTAGGAAGAGGTAAATTAAGTAGTAGCTATAAAACTACCCAGCAGTTTTAGTAATAAACAAA